TTTTTTTTTGCCAAAGAATATTTGAAATTTCTCATTTTTTCAGAAGAGTCGTCGGAAACAATTCAAACATTTGTGACCGAACTTAGTGAAGCAACTCCGGCAAACTCTTTAGTTGTTTCGCTTGGAGTAAGAACATACATTTTAATATGCCCTCCTTTTTATTCAATCTTTTCTATTTTAACCGTGTAATGCTTCAAGAAGGAAAACGTCTCATATTGTTGAAGAAGAAAGAAATGATGAAAAAAATTGGAGGAATTTTTCACTCGAAGCTTTAGAAATAACTTTCGTACTATTTCAGGACGATGCTACGAAAGGCAAAACATATTTTGTAATTGTTGGTGGTAACGATGAAGGAAAATTTGCTATAGATGAGAATACGTAAGTGTTCAAGCGTAAAAAATTAGTTTTATTTATATTTGAATAGCAAAAAAAACAATGAAAGATAAACAAAACAAGGATTTTCACTGAAGAGCACTTTTACATAATTTAATCGTTCTTTGAATTTTTAGGGGGACAATTACAACTGTGGATCAGTTTGACAGAGAAACAACGGCAATGTACAGTCTGCAAATCGAAGCAAGATCAAGAAACCCCGATCAGCATCTATATTGGACGGTTGTTCAGGTCGCAGTATTGGTTTGTTTTTGATTTCTAAAACATTCCAAGGTTTCAGTAAGGAAGTCCTCTGTCTTCCAAATATATGACGTTTAACTTTTTGTTGGAAGAATGTAAATTTTTAATCCTAGAGAAAACAGGATAAACATTTACTCTTCGTCCATGCATCAGTTGAGGGTTACCGGATAATAGAAGCTCTTACTTTGTCACTTACTGAGTGCTTTTTTCCTTACGTTCGAAGTTTTCATCTCTTTTAATAAATATAGGATATAAACGACAACGCTCCGGAATTTAGCGGGCCACAACCGGTTCGGTTACGCGTAAACGTTGATGATATGGAAGAGCTGAAGCCAAATATGATAGTCGGAAGGGTTAATGTAAAAGACCCAGATTCTGAAGACAATGGACGAATTCAACTGAAAATTGTTCCACCAATGGACAAGTTTGATCATTTTTGTGCCATGCTAACATTTACGCAATCAAACTTTTCAACGAGTGAGGTTTGAAATTCCGATTCATTGATTTATAATTCCAGATTGTTCTCGATTGCCAACGATGGAGTTTTGACTGTAAACGGTGAATTTACTGGCGCACACTTTGGCGAACACCGATTGGGAATTATTGCTACCGATCAGGGAGATCCAGCACTTGAATCAAGAGGGAATGTTGTAGTTACAATTACGGGAACCTTTATTACCCAGCCGCCAACAACTGTAATATATTTAATGACTTAATAGGTGTAAAGGGTACTATCGCTTTCCTTTTTTCGAGCTCATTAAGCAAAAGAAAGTGATTGCAGGAAGATTATACAAGTCTCGAAGGAAATGGACTTGCCAAATATCAACTGATACCAGAAGATTATACACAACAACCATTATTTACAATTCCGCCAACAATCACAGGTCAAAAATCGTTTTTTCGATTCACTTTAAAAAGT